TAATTTATATATAAGAGGTGGTTTCATTCCGTTAAACCGTTTTTGGGCCGCAACTGCTAATTTCTAAATTCATCTATTTAGGTAACCTACATGTATAAAAAGTTTCGTTAAGATTAGAATTTGACACTTCGCGAGGTTCCCTTGTAAGTCTCAGAATAGACCGTGGAGTGCTCCAAATAATTAAGATGCGCCAACATGTTACAAAGTGAATTTTGGTGCTTGATAATATATTATAATATGTAAATCTTACAATTCTCAGTTCAGACAAACTATGCGCCGCATAATCGTCGGTCTTTAAAACAGCTCCAAAATGAGTAGTAAGTAATATAATATATATGTCAAGACAATTTAATAATTTAATAAAAATAATAAAGATGTTTATGGAGCATCTTTTTAAATTCTGTGAAAACAAACTTATTGCAAAAAATATTACTTCAGTCAGGATATTAAATTTCTGTAAGTGTTAGACGCGCGTTCCTTTCAATGTCTCCGCAATCGTCGCTGGGCTGTGTCTTCTCGCTGATTTGCAAATCTTTATTGATTAATTTTTCATTAATGATTGAGAAACTCGCAAATCGATAAAGGATTTTTCATTTTTCCACAATCAGTTTACAACATACCATTTCATGAGAGAACGATAATTACTAGACACTCTGTATAAGATAAAAAGTTATACAGAAATTCTAGAGAATTCTAAAATTTATTATATATAGAAATTTATATAGAAAGATTTTCACCAGGAAAACATATTTTTTATCATAATCAACATAATAAATTCTTTCTAAGAGCTAGAAGTCCTAACAATATATACTATATTTAATTTAATTTTGATTGCAACAAAGCTTGGTAAATATGTAGAAAAAGAACACTTTCTTGATAATTTTGATCTTGATATGTTGTCAAGGTCATGACCTTGAGTAATCTTCTGGATTGTCCACGAAGAATATTTCAAAAAGTTGTATAATTCAAAAATATGGATTTATATTGTTAACTTTTTTTCTTACAATTAGTAAGCAGGGGTATGAGGTGGACCTCGCTTTCGTGGAAAGTCAAAACTTAAGCGGAACAGTGTAATTATACGACTGTGAAACAAGATTTATAATTTACTATTTCACATGGATTTTCTATTTGCGGCGAAACATACTGCCTTGCACATACACTTTATTCTTAACCTTTTCCTTAATAATTTTTAAATAATTAAGTAAATAAACAATGACCGCCGGTTGAAACCTTTTGAAAGTCATTCACAATTAATGTTGTCAGGGTTATGACATTTGTCAAAGTCAAGGTCATTGATGAAGGTGACACCCTTTTTCTATGTATCTACCTAAAGCTTTTCTAATGTATTGTGTATTGTATAGTTATAATACGTCAAAATACACTACAAAATAGCTTTTTTCGCTTTCACCATAAATTTCTTAAAATTGCAACGTGATAGAGCAATTTGATAAATGGAATCATATTCAACGTTCAAACACTGTAAGAAATATAATTATCATCATTTTCGTACTCGAAGAAAAATTATTTTTTGCGGAACTAATATTATTAACAATATATTATCAGTTTAATTAATAATTTTATTTTTAATTCTCTTTTATTAGTGCATTAATAGATGATTTAGATATATCAATGTACGGTTCCAAAATGGGAATTTTACACAGTATATCGGGACAGTGGATACTCAATACAACAAGCAGTCCTAGTCTTACTTATTATGCTATATCTAACTTTAAGAATATTTCATGTAAGTTCTTTTTATTACTCGATATACAAGGTGTCTCTTAATAGATGTATCACCGCTCATGGGTAGATAAAATGCACTAAACTGAATCAAAAAGTCCTCTACCATTTTGCAAAATTCGCAATATTTAAATTAATTTTTGAATATCGCCGAATGAGCGAGTATCCGTTCGGCGAGTCCGGCCCACCGCCAATACTAGCGCGCGACCATCGCTGTAAACAATTCCCCGCTCGCCGCGTGCCTCGCGCTAGGCAATCGCGCTCGAAGGACGGTCGCGCGCTAGTATTTGCGATGGGCCGGACTCGCCGAACAGATACTCGCTTATTCGGCGATATTCAAAAATTAATATCTTGTTAAATATTGCAAATTTTGCAAAATGGTAGAAGACTTTTCGATTCAGTTTAGTCTATTCTATCTACCCATGAGCGGTGATACACCTATTAAGAGACACTCTGTATATCCGTTATCTAATACAGACTAATTGTTATACATATTTATATTAGGGCCCACGCGTATAGATTTCATTACAATGTTGAATACAGTATCCAATTATCTAAATGAAACCTGGGAGGCAAAATGGCAACAACATACAATAGGAAGTCTTGGTCAAGTGATTATAATATTAGCTCCATTGTCTCAGTTCTCTGAAACAGACCAGGAGACAATTTTAAAATTATTAAAAGAGGTCAAACATCTTCATCCTGGTAATAAAACGTTTGCATTATTTTTATTCTTTTATATTTTTTTGCGAGAAAATAAATATGCCCTTGTGTTTTGAAAAAGAAAATGAGAAAATAGAAAGCAAGGATAAAATAAAAAATATTTATAAACTATAGAGAATACATCGATCCTACATAGTCAACATTTTTATAAAATTACAGATCTATATTTTTTATATTATACGTCAGAACATAATTCACGTATTTTTCAACCATTTATATTATCAGAACAAGATCATTTAATACTTGGTCCCAATTTTGACGCTGTAATACAATATTTGTCAACGTGTAAGTATTGCAATAATTGCAAAATAATAAGTAGATATTATTTGTGCATTTAATTTATAGTTTATAATAAATATTATACTCACTATATTTTAGTGCCACGAACTCTGAGGCCGATAGTTATGTCGAAATTTGACAATAAATCATCAGAATTTAAGGACGAAATAGAAGATTATATAAGCCCTTCAAAATCAATTACATATATGTTGCATTCGCAACATATAGTTAATATGAAGATAACAATTACGGTTGGTATATTTTTAAAAAATTATATCAGTTTTTGTCTTTTATAAAAATAAGAATTCGAAGAAATATACAAAAAATTTATCGAAATATTTGCTTTCCAATTTTCGTCAACTGTGATGATCGGATGTAATACGTACGTTTTGTCAGAATATTATAGTATGCTTCGACGATTAATTCATGATTCATTGATATTTTCGCCAGGTCCATAATTTTGGATATGGAACGCTTAAAGCTTGTTCATGGAATCAATTTGATGGCGAAAAAAGTATAGAATGTCAACAACTTGATGCACATAAAGAGATTAGTTTAATTGACAACTATAAATGCATCGATACGCACTGTCCTCATATATATCTTCGTATACAAAATGCTACTTCCTTTAACAAATGTGCAGGTAATGTCTCAAGAAGTACATCACAACTGTAAGAAACCAATTTGATTTTCCTTAAAATATATTGTTAAACACAAAAATCGAACAGATATGTATTTTGTTACATGAGTCTATTTTGAAGTTTAAAGGATGAAATAATTAAAGGTTCCTCAAAGGTATAATAATGTTTATATTTGGTATATAACCAATCATCAGGAAATTATAATTAAGGTACATAAAAATATGTTTTAAGTAACATTTTCATGGTTTTTCATGTACTTCATAACATATGTATTTTGATTTTTAAAATATCGCTATCCCCATATATTATTATTTTTGTGAAATTAGATATATTTCTTCTATAAACAAAAATTTTATCCATATATGATAAAGTTATTTTAATGCTTTCATTTTTTTATGTCGTATAATTTTTATAAATGCTTACAGAAATTGGAAAGGCCATAATAATTACTTATTTTCAATATTATAAGCATTATTACTTGATGTTTTTAATACTGAAAATAAGTAATTTGAAAGTTACTTATAATCAAAATAAAGTAATTATTTGACCTTTTTAGAGTTTCTAGTATACTACATTTTTATAAGGGTTAATAATAATTTTTAAATATTATATTTGAAACATTTTGTGCCGAGTATCATTATTGTATTCAATATTTATTGTGAATGATAACGGAAAATATAAATTTATTATATTGATTTAAATATTATTTTGTTATTAAATATGTTTAAAAGCTAGTAAGAAGCGTGGCATAAAAAAGCAAAACCATAAGTGAATGAAAATAGTTTTCAGAAAATAAATCTAAGATATTACATATGAGAATATAATATATAGGATGATTTAGAATAAATATAGTGTCCTTAAACATATGTATTCCTGACCGTATTCTGAGATTTGATTTTTTCTTTAGCGGAAAAAAAATTTATGCGGAGCTTAGTTTTCAAGTTATAAAGAGAAATAGTTAGCGTATCACGGGGCGAATACGGAAGGCAGGCAGGGCCGGCGCGACTTACCGTTACACGCGGGTGTTACTCGCTCAGTCTGCCTTTCTGTCTGTTATTTGTCTGTGACTCTTTTTATTATCAAATAGTAAATAATAAATTGCCTCTGTGAGCCGCCGCAGTTATTGGTGAGTGAAATAATAATACAACAATGATACAATAAAGTAAAAGATGTATTGTTGAATAATTTTATGTGTAAATCGCAAAGGTTTCGCAAAACTCAGAGTCGAAACGTTTGCGATTTACACATAAAATTATTCAACAATACATCTTTTACTTTATTGTATCATTGCAGTTGTATTATTATTTCACTCACCAATAACTGCGGCGGTTCACAGAGGCAATTTATTATTTACTATTTGATAATAAAAAGTCACAGACAAATAACAGACAGAAAGGCAGACTGAGCGAGTAACATCCGCATGTAACGATGAGTCGCGCCGGCCCTGCCTACCTCTCATATTCGCCCCGTGATACGCCAACTATTTCTCTTTATAATTTGAAAACTATAAAGCTCCGCACAAATTTTTGCCAAAGGAAAAATCGTCTCAGAATACGGTCAGGAATACGTATATTTAAGGACACTATTATTCTGAAACACCTTGTATTACAAAATAAATAAACGAAAACTTTTGTAACTTTAAGGAGAAATAATAAAGACTATTATTATTTCTTACTATTATTTGTAATCTAAGCTGTCATGCTAAAAATGTCAATCATGCCGCGCGACGCAAAATGCCGCAAGTGCTGCATAGAAGCGATGTATATAAAGATTTTTAAACTTATTTTTCAAAGATATATGTAATTTGTAAAATGATTTTATCATATTAATACATGAATGAATTTGGAAATTATAAAATTATTTAAAAGTAATTTCAAATAAAGCCGGTATATACAACAAATAATTTAATTTAGTTTAATTCAGTCGAGGTTAGATGTTGGTTGTCTAATATTTTAAATTTCAGCTACCGTAAATTGCGCATCAATTGTTATCGGTTTTTAATCGAGATGCGTGTCTAAAATTATTTAAATTGTTTAAATTTTTATTTATAGAAGTGTAAAATATATTTTACAAAAATAATAAAGTTAGCGGATATAAAAAAATATTAGATTTTTTCTTTAGAAAATCGAAATATAGTACATCTAAATAAATTTAAATTAGAGAATTATAGTAGTACATCTAATTATAAAGTACATGAAAAATGAAAATTTTACCTAACATTTTTTTATACATCTTACTATTTTGACAATAATTACTTAAAATCAAATATAAGCATTATCTTTAAAGAGTTGTTTTTAAATTTGTTTAAATTTCAAAATAGGCATATAAAAAATACATAATATTAGATTTTTAACAATATATTTTAAGAATTAAATTAGTTCCGGATGACTGTGATATATCTCTGGATTAAAAATTAAATTTTCATTACATAAATTATTTCTATTTTTATATCTTACTTTGTTTTGCATTCCAGAAATGGAATGTAGATCACCGAATCAAGTGAGGTACATCATAAGAATGCAAAATACATATGGAAACTCTGCGGAAAAGAAGATATTTATAAATATATTTGTAACATTTTATTTATATTTACAATTAGTTGTATTTAACATGTAAAAGGTCTTGTTCAATAAAGTTAAAACGACTTAAAGCTTAAATAATATTATATTTTAAAGATTCAGTTTTTTTCGTCAATTTATAGCACAGATAAAAGTAATTAACACAGCAATGAATATAAATAATTATGAATTCAACGAGAAATTCTAATGCATCGTATAATAATAGTAATAGTAATAATAATAATAATAATAATACTAGTAGTATAGCAATAATAGTAATAGTAATAGTAGTAGTAGTGTAGTAGTAATATCGTTGCTTTGCAACTTCACATTCATACAACAATTTGTCTTTCCTTTATTGCGTACAAAAATATAATTGAGGTCGTACTTGCGAATATTTTATATATCAATAGCTTCGATAAGCATATTCGTATATCAATTTTATAAGAAACTGAAAATTACTGGAAGCAGCAAGTTCGCCGAGTTCCGATTCTTTCAAAAGCATATCGATATGCGGCAAAAATTCATCCACTTTTCCACCTAAAAAGTACAAAATATTAAATTTATAAGTCTGGTTCTCTCGATAAATTACTTATCAATATCTCGTCGAATGTAGCTTACCCATAAAGTACGTAAGATCCATCAACTTGAAAAATAGCGTCTCCTGAACTTGTTGCTCGGGATTCTTTTCCACGTTGTCCCACTGATTTCGCCGAGCCGCCCGCGCCCAAATTTGCAATTTCAGCGACGACTTCTCCTCTTCATGTTCTACGTAATCGAGCAAATCAAGGGCCTTCTTGAAGTCATACTCATTGGCTATGACGTTGTCACTCGAGGTGTATAGCATAATTAATTCTCTCGGCGTGAGCACTCGCAGTTTCTTAATATCATAGCCATACGTTGTGAGCACCTGAGTCGGTAAATCCTCTTGATAAGCTATGAGCGTCAATTCGTTGTCGATCGTTTTCACGCACTCTATCACCTTATCCTCCGGTTCGTCAGACGCGAGTAGAGCCAGCTTTGCCAACGAGAGCATCGACTTTTTACGAGTGACTAGCTCGGACTCCTGAACCGCCAAGGTGTGAAGCGTGTTGGCGGCGAATCGCAAATCATCAGTCAGCGCGGCTTGTACCCAGGACAGAGTGGGATGCTCCGATAGCTTTTCCGTTAGCTCCGCGGTACCGCCGCGTCTGCATCTCTCAACCAGTTGGCCTTGACGCCCGTCTTTCACGTACCAAGAGAATAAAAAGCCGGCAAAGTCTTGCGCCGCAAACTTTTCGACGTATCCGTCCAGTCGATTCTTATTGTCAGTCAACTCGCAGATCTGTACGAGTGAGGGAAAGTCGCAATACTTTTCAGCGAGCATCGCGGCGTTATCATATTGCTCCTCCTTTATTAGCGGTTGTATCAGATTGGCGCGCTCTGTCTCGTATTGCTTCAGGAGAACCTCGAACTTCTCTGTGCCACGAATGCTTTCCAAGTGACACTTTTTCCCGTCCAATATTAAATCGATCAGACTAACTAGCTGCTCATACAGCTCGTTCCTCACGGTGGAGTCACTGGTTCCTGTTATACCATGCTTGATCGTGATGCTCTGCATCGTATTGAGGCAACTCCTCAAGCCGTGCTTACCCGGCGCGGCCGTCCAAGGGAGGTATTCCGTTATTTCATTGGAAAACTTGGCAGGGACGAAGCGTTCGGCGTTGTACTGACGGTACTTTACTACCTCATATAATACGGCCAATAAAATGGTGTTGACCTGCATGATGTACTGCCCGACTTGTTGCAGGGGTCTCTCGGACTGCGTAACTTCGCACGCTTTCTCCACCAGGATTGGCAGGAATAGGTGCACCGTGCTCACCTCGCGGTAGAATACATCGCACGCGGTAAGCTCGTCGGACACGTACGTCTCTTTCTGATTCAGCGTTTCGTCCACAACCGCGTCTACGATCTCCGCATATCTATTTTGCAGACTGTACAATGTCAACGCTGCAACTATTTTCTCTGCGTATTCACCGAGTACGTGGGACGTGGACATAATGATTCCCCTGCACGTAACCGTGCAAAACCTATTCCACAAGTTGTGCTCCTTCAAGAACATTATGAAGAGATCTAACGCCTTTTGTTTACCCTCGAGTTGATGCGGTATTTGCATAGAGGTGACCGCGTTCACTGTTATTGACAGATCTCGATGATGAGCCCATCTCGGATCGTTCGCCGGAAAATCATCGATTAGATCCTTCGCGACTTTCAAAACGAGGATGTCGAGGGTGGCGTCAATGTCCATTACCGGGTCCTGCAGAGGGAACAGCTGGGCGAGAATCTCATCGCATTGCGTCTTATTCTGTCGCAGGCTCAGGAGAAAGGCGGCACGTAATTGAGTGACCGCGTCGGAGCTGCAGAACATATCCTGCAACTCGTCGTTACTTATAAGAGTGGAAAAGTTCTGGGCCGATTGATTCACTTTATAGGTGTAATCCATACTCATGGTGGTGTCTGTGTATCCGGTGTTGAAATCTTGTACCGGAAAGTCCACCGGCATAATGGACACGAGGCCGACGCTTTTTGTGAACAATACCGGAGTCGCTGAGCATATAGCACCGCCAAGAATACCGTCCTCGCCGCCCCTCACTAGATCGATCTTATCTTGCTCGACCTCAGACGCGGTGTTAACTACGAGTACGTTATGTCGATTGTATATAACCGCCTCCCAACCGTACAATATGAAATGATAAGAAACTAGCCTCGACTCTATATCATTGTGATAAAATAAAATCGGGTCGATTTTCACTGGTATAAACCATTTAAACGAATTTGATAGTGTTGTACCGACCAGAGGCAATAATCCGAGCGCAAAATGAATTTGTATGGAAATGTCAGCGCAATGGGCAGCCATTAAAAGAACTATCCCTTCCTCGCACGTTTGCATATCGACGAACCATGTGTTCATACTTTGAGGGCTCGACTCCCAAATTTTTCTTTGAAACGCCTGCTGAACGATATGAGTGATGTCTTCGTCGAATTCCATTTTCTCTTGTTCATTATGAGAAAAATACCAATACTGCAGGGAAGATCCGGCAAGAATGAGAACTCTTGAGCTTCTCTCATCTAGTGGCGTGCACGTGACCTTTACCAATTTCGTTTCTGTGACGGGCGATTGTGGTATCGCTCCGAAAATGAGGGAGGTCATTCTGCGACCTATGCCACCGAGCCATCCTTGACTCGTTCGAAGCACCTGGCATGTAATATTGTTCTTTCCATTGTTGAACTGCGGCTGTAAGAGCGCCACCGTACACGTGGTTGTGGCTAGAATACACCCATGGCCTGGCACATGTATAAGACAATCTACTTCTTGTCCTGCAAGCTCAGCGCTAGTCTCTATGGAAGATCCTTCGTGCGCCACACTCATCCAGAAACGCACTACTCCTTCTGGCGAGACTGCCATGCAACTAGGAACCTATGGAACAAAAATATACATACATAAACATACACACATGCGCGCGCGCTCGTACACGCACAACATTTTTACATAAGTATTATATTTTCTTTACATATACATATATTCATTTTATACATATATATGTGTATATATATGTTTATATTTTTAAGTTATATACTCTTATTCTTTGAATTTTGATCTTCAAACTGAAAAAAATTGTTCAATTATGTTAACTTTAAACAAAAATACATTAATTTAAAATTTTATCGAATACACTGGACTCGCGAATACAAATTAATGAAATTTTGGAGCGAATACTAATTAGGATTAATCTTCAAATAATTGTTTCTCACTTTAAAAAAAATATTTCAAATATTTCGAATTTGTAATGGAAGAACATGATTCAAGCAAATAATGTTTTAAAGCATTTTCTTTTTATAAGATTAACATTATACCAACATCATAAATGTTCTTTAAGTATTGTAAAGATATCTTTTTCGTAAAAATCTTTTTCACAATTTAATTCTCTTAATTATTTAATCATTCCACATAAAAATAAATCTATAAAAGCATATTAATTATATAAAAGTATTAGGGCTAAATATAAAAAAATTTAATATTACTTATAGAAATTAAATTTATCAAATATTTGATATTTCATTTTATCATAAAATATTTATTTTTTCATTATCTTATGATAATACTTCAATGCATAGACTAAAAAGATAAATTAATTACTATAGAAAAATATATATAATACTGCCTTTAAAAAGATAAAAAGAACATAATTACATAGGAGAGAAAATTATATAAAAAAATTATGTTGTTTCAACAAACAAATATAAGGATCCAAACAAACGAGTAAAATAACGAAGATAATAATATTTATTTGTCAAATAAAAATTACCTATAAAAGTTGTTATTGTTTATTATCACTTGTCAATTATTGTAAGTTTTAATTTTTTCGATTTTATTTATTTCTTTACTTTTCCTACTTTTTACAATTTTACTTTACTTTAACTTTTACATATGAAGTATGAACATAATGATTATCTTTTTCATATTATTCATATCTATTATTATTTATATCTATTATTATTCATATCTATTATTATTTATATCTATTAACTGTTTCATTTTGGCGTTATACTAACTGAATCTCTTTTCCAAAAAGAACATGATTAATAACTACATTTTAATTTCTGCGAATTCCAACTGTGGGCATTCGTAGGATTATTCAATAATGTATATTTATTGATTGACTCCTGTGACTTTATTTTTACATATTATTTTTGTCATTATTTTGTAGTTTCGTTTAATTATATTTATATGCAAATAAATTTATCTACATCATAATACATCTTAATTTATATTTGCGATTGATAAAATTAAATAAAATTGAAATTTGTATTATTTACTATTATTACTATTATACTATTTACTATATTATTATAATATTACTATTATAATATTTACTATTATACTATTTTGTTTTTATTTTAATTTTTACTTGATAAATAAATGTTATTATCTTTGTATCTGCCCTTTATATAACATTTATTTTATACTATTTATTGACAAATTAACTTTTGTGTTTGTATTGTTTTGTTATTTGACAAAAATGTTACTGATGTTAATATTTTATACAAACATATACAACAAAAAATTTGTTGTACACATTCAACTCAATTTTATCTTTTAAAACTAAAAAATTATTTGAAACTTTTTTCCTCTCAAAAAAAAAAAAAGAAAGTGATACACTACAAATGATATTCTATATTGAAAATACACAATTACGTTATAGATAAAACTACAATTTGATCTTTCCTTATTACCTGGTGACCAGGCGTTACCCAGACTGCTATGCAGTCTGCTTTATGAGCCAGATCACTTTGCGGCAGCAACAATTCACGACACTGAGTCTTAAAGGTTCTTCTCTGTTTGGGATCGTGAATATTGGCTTTACATTGCCATACAAGTAATTTGCGGCCATGAACAAGCCAGGCCCAGCCATCCACAGATACATTAACACTGACAGCTGTATTCCGATCTACAAATGTCAATGCTTCGGTAACCAAGACTGGCAATGGAGAACCAAAGCTTTCCACTGTATGGCTCTGCGTCCTGCATATCACTTGTACAGATTGATTCGTACGTCCTGATACGCTCGTTGTGCTAAAGTTGAAATAAAATATTATTGTAATAACGCTGTTACTTTAAAATAAAACAAAGCGTTGTAGTATAATGTCATAATAAAAAACAAGTTTTAATTCTTAATTTAAATAAAGTCTAACGTAACATAATAGTATCAATTGAATACTGTTCAGTCGAGACAGAATATCTGTACAAAAATACTTTTTCTCTGAATATAACTCACATAGTACTCTAACATGAAGAAGTATTCCTTGTATTAATACATTGCATAATTATAGTATTACATGCAAAAAAACTTACGAACTATTTTTTTTCAGTGATTGAATTATCGACATTCTCTTCCTAGGGGAGGCTAACGTCCTTCCCAACGGACTCGCCACGTTTGTACGATCCATTTTCTTAAATCTGTGCCAAATTATTTCAAAGAAACATATATTTTAGTTCTTTCTCAAATATAATTAAAATTGTATGGCTTTATAAAGCATATAACTTCTAACGAACGACATTCGATTTACACTTTATTTCGCGGTTTTGAAATTAGGTTAGGCACAATAAAGTACCGGCGCCATGTGAACACCATGTATTACGAAAAATATACAGAGCAATAGAAATGGTCATTTTCGAAAACACAAAAAGTTTAGGGTGCATTCAGTAGTAAGCTCAGAAAGAATATGATAAAGCCTTAAGGATGCGTTCCCACTGAACGCGTCACGCGTTGCGTTGTCCGTAGCGTCATGATTAATCGACCAAAATATCCCATTTTATTGCATCATTTGCCACGCAATTCCTTGCGCTATGTATCAATTAGGTTACTCGACATTCTAGAGATAAAATAATCTTTTTTTTGTGTGAAATCCAGAATTGTGCGGCAAATTACACAATAAAATGGAATGTTTTGATTGTTCAATTCGGATAACGCGACGCGTGACGAGTTCAGTGGGAACGCATCCTAAGTCTAGAGTCCTAGATTATCAGAAAAGCGCGACCGGCTTATGGCAGTATCGCAAAAGTACTAGAAAATATTAAAAATGGCGTCGAATGGCCAATCATAAGTTTGATTTATTCGGCAGCCATTTATAATAGCGATAAATCAATCTTATGATTGGCCATTTGCGTGTCCAATCAGGACTCGTAACACCGGTCGCGCTTCTCTGATAATCTAGGACTCTAGCTGTAACC